TGCCAGTTTCAAGCGTAATGTTTTGTTCTGTTGGATCCTGATCTGTTCGTCGTTTCTTCATCGTTCCACGTATGACACTGTGCTTGTCCATGCACAGGACATTTGGCGCTGGAGATAGCCCCAATATCTCGGAACGGCTAATCACCTGTCTGTGCTACCCAGCTGCAACCAAACTAATGCATTTCCTTCTCATCCTTTAGTCGACGGTTCCATAAGGAATCTAGATGAGTTCCCAACAATCCCAAACGCCGTCGCCTTTCTACATAATGTACAGCCATGATCCCCGCAAACTACAGAGTGTGTGACGCGGCAAGTATTGGAGCGCAGACAGGGCGGCCTTGTTCCAACAATGATGAGATACTGAGGGCCGCTACAGTTAGTGGGAAATGTGTTCTGACTGCGCTTCAAGCCATACCACTTCCTAAGCCCTATCAATTGCAGGGATTACTAGAAAGTGTTAGGATTTCGTAAGTTGTGTCTACCAGCTCCTCAGCATGGAAACCACGGCAAAGTGACCTGTTTAGCTCATTCTTCGAAAGGCTTCAGTTACTTGTTAAAGGACCATCTTAGATGTCCTCTAGTTGTGTGTGCTTTGGGATTTTTTCTTACTTTTTCCTCCTACTCATGTGGTTTATTGAGCCACACCTTTATCGATGCTTCTAAAGAAGTTGCTGTTTATGGGCTCTTGAAAAGACTCCTTGACACCTCGCTTGGTGTCCTCTCCTCAATCCTCTGAATGATCATTGAATCCTTTCTTCTCTCTGTTTTTTTAGGCTTCCCACCATTTTTGCAAGTTATTCCGGGTTTTGCTCTGACACTCAGCTAATTCGCTTCTTTCAGGCACACTGAGTTCGATCGCGTCGTTGTCGTTTAGCCAAAAGCAGGCGCTGTTATCTTCATGGCGCCTGCTACGCCCTCAAGCGCCAGGTCTCTTCAGGAAGATCTACTTAGAATTAGAAATTGTTTCAAATAAAGTTAAACAGGTAAGAATAACAATATTGAACAACTTAGAAACAAACGCCATATGTTGTAGTGTTTTTTCCACCTCGAAATTTTGTATGGATGATGAATTTTTCTAAATGATATTGGTACTATTTATGGAGACTTCCATAGTCCATGAAACACTCCGTTCAGTTTTTACGTGGCTGACTGAATCCCGTTGTTCTCCAGATCATGAAATAAAAGTTTCTAGACAAGAAATTGAACATTTCGACACCACATCTTTTGCGCTTAAAGGCATATCCCTCAAAAAAGAACGTTTGGGTAGTTGGGCTCAAATAATAATTATAATGTTGCCAGTGACTCATTGGTATAGAAAAATCATCAAACGTCCGAATCCCCAACTGGACTCCCTTGCCGCTTCGTCACTGTACGAGCATAAGGCGAAGAAAATGGGTGCTAGGGTTAGCAGGTGTCGTATCATAACGATATCAGCTCTTTCTTCGTAGCACTCGCACTCTCACCATCCTGAACGGAAAGAGCTGGTTGCGGGATAGCTAGACCATTGCTAGGAATAAGTGCTGTGGCATGAGGAAGCATGCAGGGCGTTGCCTTCATTGCGATCGGGTGGCGTCGTTGTTGGATATTTTTGCGCCGCGAAGGTGATATACACTTTTTGCGGACAGGACCATCATAAGCATAGCTGTGCACGAGAAGTGACTTTGAAGGCAGACTTCGCGGAAACCTGTCGGGAAGTTCATAGGTAGGGGGTTGAAAAACAGCATTCTCTGTAGGCTAATTGACTTGCCTGTGAAGCGAGAAACAGAGAACGTCGAAAAGCTCTCAATAGGACCCTCTTTGCTCCGAGGGGAGTGCAAGAAAGAGAGGTGAGGATGCAAACGAGCAACCAGCGGATGCGACGAATAGCAACATGGGCTGGATCACTTGATGAGCCATACACCTTGACCCCATACCTTTAAACTTTCTTACGCGAGACCTGCACAGTGGTCAGCGGTCTGCAAGACATTTTCCCACGAAGAGCTTCGATTCTCACAAGTAGTACGCTCCATCAACAGCTACGTGACCGCTGAGGCGGGCAGAGTGGAAAGGGGTGGACCGGAAACTTGTATCCTTTTTATAGTCCTTACCATTAGTCAAATACTGACATGTGCACTTGACAACGGTTATTAAAGGTACACTGGCTCCATCCTAAGGATAGAGCCAGCCGACCATTGTGCTTTCCTCCTCAACGCGCTCCTCTCTAGAAAAGGCTAGTCCAGGCTCCGCCCCGCCCATACGATGAGCATGAAATGCACTACCAAGTAAAACCGATGAGCTGGACACATTCTTGAATTCTGAACGTTGTACGGATTCTGTTCCACAGTTTATGCATCACCTAAATCATTTCATTTCAAAACATTCTAAGAAACACAGTAATTGTCGAAGAATTATATTACACTATTTCAGATTTTCTATAAAGCACTGTGTGTTGACGCTTTCAACAAAGATGAAGAAAATATCGCCACATTAGATGTGCACATAAAATTGACTGTAAAGTGAGTTTCTTACTTTTCCTAATTGAACTAGATTCTCAAAAAAATAATGCTATCCTACACAGGTAGGCTATCATCCGTCTGCCCTCAACAGTGGTAGTAACAATAGAAGCATTATGCGAGTAGAATTGGATTTAGTTGAATAATCAAATGAAATATCTCAAAATACGAGAGTTGCGGAATTTTGCTCCTTTCCAGATTCTTCGACGATATACTGGCATCGTTAGAAGACGAAGCTGAATGTATCGATAGGATGAAACGTATTGGTATGTCACATGCGGTACTCTCCAGGTCTTGCGGATTCACAAGGTACGTCTTCCCCTTAGGGACACCTTGAAGGTACGCTAAGCGTATTTGCCTGAAAGCAGCGATCATTTGAGGCTTAGAGGGTGAACGCAAGCAAGAGAATCAGAACGA